GACTGTCCTCTTTTTTCAGTGTTGAAATGTGGTAACCCTACAGTTGCAGGACACAGAAAAGCTTCTGTTGTAGAACTGGCTATTTGTTGCACTGAGGTCACATTCCTAAAATGCCCAAGATTATGGCCATCAACCCAGAACTATCTCCCAGGAATTTATTGCTGTGTAGGAAAAACTTCCCCCAAGGTTCCAGTGTATCCACCAATTCCCCAGAGACTTGTTGAAATACTGAAGTTTGGGTGGATGATGCCCCTCTACATAAGCCAATGCTGGGTATGCAGGAGCATCAGGAACGCTGGTTTAAAATATAAATAACTGCATATTGAGAAAAACCCAGCCAAGGGAGTTACACCCCACATACTTTCCTATGTTCCCACTAGTATGCTTAGGCACTCGAGGTTAGTTATGAACCAATGTGTTTAATTAAGAGCTGCAACAAGAGGAAATAAACTGATTAGAGTGAAATTATACAGACAACCCCAGAACATCATTGCCCTGAACAAAAGTGGAGAACAAGTATTTAATAATGGACTCTTCAAACGAGCAACAGACAAGTATAACATGATGATCTAATGGCTGGAAGTTGAAGGTAGACAAATAAAGACTGGAAATAAGGCATAAATGTTTAACAGTGAGAGTAATTAACCTTTGGAACAACTTGCCAAGGGTCATGGCGGATTCTCCATCATTGACAATTTTTAAACCAAGATTGGATGTTTTTTCTAAAAGATCTGTTCAAAGAATTATTTTGGGGAAGATCTGTATTCTGTTTTATTCAGGAGGTCAGACTAGATGAACATAATGGTCCCTTCTGATCTTGGAATCTATGAGAGAGCAGGGGGCATAGAATCAATTTGCAAGGCAGCGCTTTCTGAAGGCTGCACTGGCATTCAACTCTCCAGCTGCCCACCAGTGGGGAGCTGAGGTATAACTGAATTCAGAACATTTAGAAATGAAAAAATCAAAGGATTTCCAAAATCACAATGCTCTAGATAAAGATTGCTGGACTTCCCACAGGATGCCAAGGCAATTAAAGTGCTCGGGTGCTAAAGGTAGTTAAGCACTGCTATTTACCTTCTCACAATATTACACTACAAGGGCAAGGGGAAACCCAATGAAATCCAAAGGTAACATACAAAACTGATACTAGGAAATACTCTTAACACAAAGCATAATTAATCTGGAATTCATTGCTACATCAATGTAGCAAAGAGTTTAGAATTTTTTAAAGGAGTAAATATTTATATAATTTAAAAAAACAGCAGTTAGATTACAATACAACAGGACAAAACTGCTGCTTCAGGACATAACACAACTATTAACTGACTAGGTTTAGGAATAAACTTCCCCTATAGGCAGGTTATTTCATATTTGTCTATTATGGAGTTTCTTGCAAGTTTCTTCATAGCATCTAGTGCTGTCCACCATTAGGGACAGGATAGAGGATAGACTGAGCTGGTATGGCAATTCCTATGTAAGATAAAAGAGGTATGGGTAAATGGGTCTAAAGTTGAGCTATATAGAGATGATTAATAGACAGCTGTATTTCAATAAAAGAATATAGCAGAAAGCATAAATTATCATGGATTGTATCACTACTTGACATCAGTCCTACCTTTTCCATTGTAGCCACCTGTACACACTCACTCAGCTTTGACAGGTTTTTTGTAGCTATCATCCGGTAAACAGAACTGGTGACCTTAGTTGCTGTTCATTTTTCTAAACTGAAGGCTTCATATGCGACAAAAGCACCCCATGAATTAAAATAACAGAATCCTTGTCAATTCCAAGATGAATGATCTTTCAGTGACCTCCATCAGAAATGTCATATTTGGTGTGTTGTCGCTATAATCAGCAATCCACAATGATAGACTGTACCAAATTTAAGATGGCAGCACAAAAGGACACCTGACCAGTCAAAATCTGGCAAGACAGACTGATGGCCTTTTGGTGACCTGAGCAGCCTATGGAGAGGTAAATCACTGCGGAGGGACGGGGATGGGGGGGCAGGGCTGGGGAAACCCATGGGTGTCATTGGGAGGGTAGGGACCCTGTGTGCTCCCCAAAGCGAAGTGAGGCATGGGGGGGGCACATGGGGTCACATGCCAATGCGCCTCCCTCCCCATTTCTGCAGCACAGATCTGCCCTCTATAGTTCACTGACTCTGCAGCTGGATGCCACCTCCTGGGTCCTAGTGCTGGTTGTTTTCCCCTTCTATGTGTGCTGGGTGCCCTGCATGGCCACCATCCTGTTTTCTGTACAAGGGTTAGTGCCTGCGATGGGCCTGGGTGGGGAAATGGGAGAAGGATGGGGCGGGGAAAGGCAGTGGGGAAGAAAGAGGGTGTGATGGGGAGGAGGATGTGGGAGGGAAAGAGGGAGTGGGGAAGGGGATGGGATGGGGAATGGTGGGGGAGAAAAGGGAGCCCAGCATGCAGTGTCCTTTCAGGAGCAGCAGGAGCTCACCTGTTAAGCAGGCCCATTTCGACCCCCCCCAACTCCTATAGAGCTCCACGCCCCCTGCACCTTGACCATCCCAACGAACCCCCCCGCACCTGGATCCCTGCCCCACTGAGCTCCAAACAGCTGGACCTGGACCTCCACCCCACCCCACTCCCCCAGCTCCCACTGCTGAGCTCCCCACACTAAGACCCCCCCCTGCTGAGCCCCATCCCCCCCACACTCAGACTCCCCACTGCTGAGCTCTGAACACCTTTACCTGTACCCCCATAGAGTCCCATTGCCCCTACACACAGAACCCCCAATGAGCCCCTCTGCATCCAGATCCCCCACACCCAGATTGCCCCACATAGAACCCTCTCACCTGGATCCTCCCCCCACTAAGCTTCTCTGCATTTGGATCCTGCTGGGCCGAGCCTGCCTGCCCACATCTGGTGCACCTGATAATGAGGGGCAGGGCGCTAGCGTATTTCTGGGGCAGGCAAGGCCCTATCACTGTGTCAGGGTTGGGTCCAGCCTCACTGCCAAGTCCCTGTCCTGGGAGGGGGGAGCTTCAGGGTGATCTCTCAACTCAGTGCAGCCAGTGGCCTGTGCTCCCCATAGCCATGCTGGTGCCTCCACATTAATTTATTGACAAATAAAATTTGCAAAATTTTAAAATAGTGTGCAGAATTATTAATTTTGTTTTTTGCATAGAATTCCCTCAGGAGTAAATGTGAGATTTTTCCTGTACTCAGTGGAATGACCTACTTGCAGCGCATGATTGAGCCATTAGCTGTATAAGGGGTCCAGACAGGGTGTGGTGCCAGATAAATAAGGGAGACAAAGCTGGAACTCAAGCTGTTTTCTTTAACAGATCCTGCTTAAGACATAATTGATTCTATATCATGACTACCACTGAATCAAATTTCATGATTTTAGCTCAGTGGGAACATGGGAATTAATGGCAGTCCATGACTGAGTCCATTATAAGTGTTTATACAAAATAAGTCCAATAGGACCTGATCTTGTAGTTTCTATACAAGACCAAATGAGCCCCAGAACTTCACAGGAACTTTGTCTATGTAACAACTGCAAGATGTGGCCTATAGTTTGCTCACTCTGCATCTGCACAAGGAATTATCTCCTTTCTGTCTCTAACACATAAGGAAACAAACACAACACAATGAACTATAATACAAATCTTAACTACGATTTCATACTTCCTCTAAACCCATCTCACCACACACCTAACCAGTGCACAAGTTTCAATTCTGAATACTTGTTAATTTTGCTGAAGGTTTTGCATGATAATGTGAGGGAACTTTGTGTGCTGCATGTACCCGTAGTTATTTTCTTGGAGGCAAAAAAGTTTCTTGCAGAGATGCAGAATCTGGCATTATTGGCTGATAATGCTGTGCCCTCTTCATCTGATGATAAAAATATGTCCCTTAAACTTGGCATTTCTTTGTTTTTAAGGGCTTGTGTTAAAGGGTGTGTGGCATTTAAGCAACCTTAACCAGTTTTAAACCAAGTTTATATATGCACAGGCACTCTCTGATAGGATTCAAGGGCAGGGTTTATTATTCAGAACTCTCCCATTATTCATTTAAAATAATCCAGTGGATATGCCCCACATTGCCACATACAGGGAGTCTTGAATTTACCTCGAGCACATCATTTAACCAAGCACATATCATATTTAGTTCAGTTGTTAGTGCAGAGGTACTATGGATGATAGATGTAACATAAATACCTCCAAAGACAGGAAGAGACTTCCATCCTCTGGAGTGGTTTATAATTTGTGGCGGTAGAAGTACAGAGCTGATACTTAAGGCAATTCCACCTCTCAGCAGTTCTAGAACTTGGTCTATAGTGAGCCTGATAAAAGTTTAGCTTCAAGATTTATTTTTTAAGTCCCCTCGTAAATAAAGTGAGTTGGGCTCCAGCTAATAAGACTAAACTAAGTAAATATCTGGCAATGTAGAAATAGGATCAGGAACTGAACTAAGAACATATTGGTGAGTGGTAACAAATTTTGAGGCCTTTAAGACATGCAAACCGATCACTCAGCTTTAGAAGTACAGTGAATAGCACAGCAACATTCTAGGTCCGGTACATGCTGTGTGTGTACATTGTAACCCTTAGGTAGTAAAGGGTAGTTGCAGATGGTATCACTGGCATACAACAAACAAGAGCTTATGTAACTGTTTAATCAAGATAAGACTAAAGGCCAGGTTTGTTTAAAGTATGACTGCAATTGAACAGATTCCAGCTAAGCAGACGGCTAAAATGTGGACATCGTAATGCTACATAAACCACTGCCAAGCTGAGCTCCTTTCATTTGTTCAGAAGTATAGCACCAACAACCTCTAACTGCAGCATGGCACGGTGGCCTGGGTACTGCACTACTGAGGAAACAAACTCCAACTTTACATGTATTTTTCCTCCCATTCATAGAATGGCACTGAACATGCCTAGTTTCCCTATAGATGGGTTTCTAATACATAGAGGTATTTAGCCAGTTTGTCTAAGAGAACTGGGACACAATCAGTACTACAGCATGATGGTGCAAGACTTTCCAAAATCTGTTTATTTTACAGATCCTTGTCACCTGATTCAGGTTCCCTATCATGGCTCCAAATAAGGTTTTATTATCCTTACAGTAGTTCTATAAAGCAAGACAGTTCAACTGTCCCTGCAATGTGATTAGGTTACTACATTTTAAATGCAAGGGGCTTAAACGTTTATTACACAGACACACAAAACACATCTCACGTTATCTGCCAAGAACTTTGCTTCAATCGTGACAAGCTGCTTGTAGAACACGCCCAATACAAAGATGCTTCCGTGAAGACAGTACCCATCCCAAAGGCTGCTTCAAATTAATAGAAAGTCTGCTGTGGAATCCGATCTTGTTACAAACCGAGGGCAATCTGTCTTTGATATTGACATCAATGGGAGCTGCTGTGGAAGGTGCATGAATATACTTCAAGAGAATTTCCCAGCTTGAGGAGGGGGACCCAGGAAGCCCCCTGCCTGCTTAGTGGCAGCCCGCGAAGGAGCCAGGCCAAGCATCTTCTGAATATTCTGTGAAAACAAAAAACAGAACGATGTGATGGTGGTGTGGTGAGAAGGAAGCCAATACAGAGGTGAAATCCTGGTTCCATTTAGACCAGTGGCAAACCTCTCATTAACTTCAACCTCCAGGGTTTTACAACTCAGTTTAGCCAGTGTATATATGTGATATATCTGTATCCATGCAAAAGGGCCCGGAAGAAATGCAACCCAGAGAGAATAACTGATTTATATGCATAATTAACTGCAACTGAAGGTGGGCCTAAGCTCCAGAGTTTGTTTCCTCATCAAGCTTCCCACAGTTGGAGGGGGGTCCAGTCCAGGGCTGCAATTCAATTTTATCTTCACCTACATAAGTCATAAAGCCAATGGGTAGGTAATACAGTTCTTGTTGCAGGCTGCAGCCTTTGCCTATTTTGTTTTCTTTAAATTAAGATGGTAACATTAGATATCTTTGCAATTCAACTACAATGCATACGCAGTAGCAGGTTCCTGTTCTCTGCTTACAGGCAGAAAATCTAGGAGCAGCACGTCACTGTTTTCACACATTCCAAAAACCACTGTCAAGGGAGGCTGTAATTAGAGCCTGAGAATCTGCAAATGAGACAGGAAGGATCTCACACAATACAATCAGAACTGGGTCGCCCACCTGGCCACCACAGGAATTGCTGAGCTCCTGCCACAAGTCTGAGTACAGAGCTGATTACTGTGCTAATGATGTAGATGGAAACAGTGTTTTCTCTCCTGAGACACATGGTACAGTATACCTACCTATCAACAGATTTCAGAGTGGTAACGGTGTTAGTCTGTATCAGCAAAAACAACGAGGAGTCCTTGTGGCACCTTAGAGACTAACATTTATTTGGGCATAAGCTTTCGGGGGCTAGAACCCACTTCATCAGATGCATGGAGGGGAAAATACAGGAGCAGGTATAAATGCATGAAAAGATGCAGTTTACCTTACCAAGGGTGAGGTCAGTCTAAGGCACATGTGTCAAACTCAAGGCCCGCGGGCCACATCCGGCCCGCCATACAATTATATCCGGCCCGCGAAATCGTTTTATATATCTGTTTTTAATGGCCCTGTGATATGACGCCCCAATAACACACACTACAAATCCCATGATGCAGTGCAATTGCCGCCAACGGCAAGCCGCGGTTCAAGTTCGCGGTCT